GTTTCGACGAGATCGGTACCACGAATAAGTACGGAGCGCGGATCTACCTAAAAGACGCGACCGTATCACTTTCGATAACAACACATTATGCGGAATGAATGAAAATTCTGCACGACCAAATCGTGATAACGCCGCGGGAGATCAAACGGGCTGATGGCAACGTCCGAGACCTGCACGAACGTGCACGAGTCCGTCGAAGCTTCTGGAAAGCTTTCCGGGGTGGGGGGCAAGGGGCTGTCTCAAAACGTCGCGCGAGAGGACCGCCGGCTCTGGGAGCGAACCTTCCCGACTTAGCACGGACACGAACCGTCGAAGCTTCCAGAATGTTCTAGAAGGTTCTACAAGGTTCTAGAATGTTCTTGATCTGCGTAGTTCCTGGAATCGAGCGCAAAATTCCCAGAATGTGACGCAAAATTCCCGGAATCGAGCGAAAATTCTTGGAATCGAGGGGTCTTGGTGACGTCACTTCCGGAAATCGTAGAGCTCATGACGGCAACTTAGCACTTACCTTCGAAGGTTCTGGAGTGTCGGTATATGTCAGTTACAGGTCTCCTGGTCTAGAACCCCCAACCTTATACTACTTACCTACAATTCGGAGGGAACAAATTGCAAGTTTCAACCTGCGGCTTTTTTTAATTATCTAAATGTGAATTATTCCCCAAAAAAAATTCGTTTAAATTTTAAGGCGTTTGTTAATGAATTAAGACTTTGGCTGGCCGTAGTCTTTAACTATTGTTCCGAGAGAAACGAGTTAATAAGCATTTTTGTTAATTTCTCGATTATCTAAATGCAGATTAATTTTTTTTATTTCGATTGAATTTAAGCGTAAGGTCGACAATCGCGATCTACAAAAAAGGAAGAGCACGGAACCGTCACACGGTATTTTTGTCACTCAAAGTATTAGGCAAATTACTTGTTGGACCAAAAATATCTTGCCCAAGATTAACAACTGCTGCCTCTCAGGCTTGATACGTAATAATATATTATATAAATTATATTAAAATGGGATATTCAATTTTCACGTACTAGACTGCGACGAAGGAAAAGAGCCTGAAGTGGCTATCACAACGAAAAGATATGGTTTTAAAAAAGTACCAACTGCAAGGTATGTAGTATTCATATTTCACCTTGTTTTGACCTTACGAAAAACTAAGTATAACCACTTGAGAGGATAAATTACAATAAAATATATATTGTAATAATAAACGATTTACCTTGAGTGCAGACTGCAAATAAGGTTCTTTTTCTTCAGGACTTCCACAGCTTTTTGCCTTTAAAATTATTTCATTTGCCTGAAACGATAATAGACATGTAAAAATGTTCAACATAACTTCCACATTTTTATAACATCAAACATCGAATTGTTAAATTATGGTCCCTTATCTGTTATAAACACTTGATTTCAAGTCGCAGTATAAACAACAAAGGACCACTTTTTAGAGAAATATTTTTTAAATATTTTTTAATGAAATAAACTTTCATATGATAAGCGTTTTAAAACAGTTTAGTATATTTTAGATTTTACAGTCGTAGCCTATCACATGGATTTCTTACACAGTGAGTAATAATGATTCTCGAAAAACTTTACTACTGAAAGTTGGCAGGTTGGTTATTTAGTATATTAATTAGCAGATATAGAGGGAATGACGAGTTGAGGCGGGAATATTTCATTCATAAAGTTTCATTAATTATTAAATGATCATTAAAACGTAATTAAATACGAGAAGCAGTAGTAATGTAAAAGAGTAGCGAAAACGTTATAGGAAATTTTGAAAATACAATTAAAATGATGGGGCAGTACTAGATTATACAGGGTGTTCCGAAACTACCTGACCCGGTGGGTATGGCGGTGTTCGGGAGGCTTTACTGATCACGAAAATGACCTTTTTGTCCGGAAGGTCATAGTTTTTAAATGGGAGCAGGTCGAAGTTGACCAATCAGAGGGAGGCGTCAAGAGAAACGTAGGCACCTATGAACTCTAAGTTTTTTTCCCTCGCTTTTGTTTCTCGGTGGCTTCGGGCAGGATGACGTCAGCCGATGACATGCCTATTGGAAACAAGAAACAAGCTACCGAGAAACAAAAGCGAGGGAAGAAAACTCAGAGTTCGTAGGCGCGTACGTTTCTGTTGACGCCTCGTTCTGATTGGTCAACTTTGACCTGCTCCCATTTAAAAACTAAGAGCTTCCGGACAAAAGGAAGGTCATTTTCGTGATCAGTGAAGCCTCCCGAACACCGCCATACCCACCGGGTCAGGTAGTTTCGGAACACCCTGTATAATAGGCAGACATGTAATGACTTATGTACTTGGCATTAATAATATAATTTCAATACTTTTTGTTAAAGGAATTAACAGCATTCTTGTACTTTGCGTTGTTTTTTACATGTAGGTGCTTTTTGGGGGGATATCACAAGTTTTTGTTACTCAACCGGATATAGAAGCTCTAAGCATTCAAATCCATATTGTTACAGATATAAAATGTAAATACATTGTGATATTGTTAATCAAAAAAGTATATTGCATTGTCAAAAATGTTTAAAGGCATATAAGTTTAATTTGTAGGTCCATAATTTTTAGAAATGGATCAAGATATACACAAATTTTAAAAGAAAATTTGATCTTGAATGCATATAAGCATCGTTAATGATGTCCAAGTTGTTGAAGACGTATGGTAAACGTAAGAGAGGAGGGTGTGTTAGATTATTTACGTACATCAGCCCGTGCGAACAACAGAGAGGATACTATGGTGCGAACGAAGCGCTAAAGCGTCGCTCATTGCATACTTTTCTGAACACCCTGAATTGAAACATCCGTAACCTGGACACAGAAAACTACGGAGTGGAATACCTGAAAACTTTAAACTTCTACATCCGACATCTAGACACAAGAAACTACGGAGAGGAACACCTGGATGCCCTGGACTTCTACGTTCGACACCTAGACACAAGAAACAACGGAGAAGAATAACTGGACATCCTGGACTTCCACGTCTGATACCTAGATACAGGAAACTACGGAGAGAAACACTTGGATATCCTATCTCTAAAAACTATCACTTGAAATACAAGGAACTGTGCCGAAGCACATACATACGTATACCCATCATACACATGCGCTCCATGTGAATACGAATACGACAGCGACGACGACGGACCTGAAATAAAATCATCTCGCTCACCATTTTAATACTCCCTGATCTCGTACATCAATCTCATTGATTTTTATGCCAATCAATTCAGAACCCTCGATTCCTGTAGTGAATGTATTAATAACTTTTTCTCATACAATGCCGTTTATAAGTTATTTCATTCCAAACAGAAGAGACGCTTCGAGTAAAGACTCTCGGCAGGCCGTGCCCTATGTGACGGATTGCTTGTACACTGCAGGACAGTAATGCCGTCCTTGGGTGGAGCTAGTAGGAAGCGGGAGTAAGGCGACCGGCACTAGCGACTGGTGGCGAGCAAGCCAGGCCGCCGCGTAGAGAGGGTAGCCTATTCCTCGCGCTTGGGACGGCATGTCTGTCCAGAGTCCAGGCGTCCCGTATAAGAGTGTCTCAGACAATTTCAACAAAGTCCGCATAAGTCCCACTTACTCGCAGTTAGTGGAGTCCCAGAGATAGCCTGCACTGTGTATATGAGCGTCTCACTTGCTTCCAGCGCTAGTCGCCCATGAGACCCTCTCACTCGCTGCCAGCAGTGGCCTGCGGATTATAATAAGAGAGCCTAATGATTGGAGTGAGAGGCTCTTATAGGCGACTCGCGCTAGAGCCAAGTGAGACGTTCTTATACGCGCTAGGCCACTGCTGCCAGCGAGTGAGAGGGTCTTATGGGCGACTAGCGCTAGACGCAAGTGAGACGCTCTTATACACAGTGCGGGCTATCTCTGGGACTCCACTAACTGCGAGTGAGAGGGACTTATGCGGACTCTGTATGAAATTGTCTGAGACACTCTTATACGGGACGCCTGGAGTCTGGACAGACATGCCATCCCTAGCGAGGGGAATAGGCTATCCTCTCTACGCGGCGGCCTGGCTTGCTCACCACCAGTCGCTAGTGCCGGTCGCCCTACTCCCGCTTCCTACTAGCTCCACCCAAGGACGGCATTACTGTCCTGCAGTGTACTTGGCGCGAGACTCGACCGAGTCCCTTGATAGCCCGAGACGGATTTACGTCCTGGTAAAAGAATTTATTTATGCTTATTTGTTTTTACGCATCTTTCGACAGACATACGACTAGCTATGCCTCCTACGAGAAAACCTTGACCACGATTCTCAATCACACGAGAAATGATTAATCAAGATAAAAAGGGAAATGTACCGAGGATATTTTTTGATTATTAAGGGATCCGCTCGTTGCAAAGACGCCGAACTTAACGGACCACTATCATCATTTCATACTTTCCCAAAGATTCCTGACATGATGACTTAAGGGGAAATGGGATTGGTCGTCGAACCTTTAGCTGACAGTATTGCCTTGCGTTTCGCAGCTATGGTAGGAATCCCGCACATCAGTAGGACTCAATGGTACTTTATACAGAGGCAACAAAATTTCGTTTATAATATTCGTCTTACAAGGAATGTTACCTTGATAACATACACCAAAACATGTAATATTTTTTTGTTATGTTGTAGAGCTGCTCAAAATATATACGCATGCAAACAATTGGAGAACCATATGAACATTTGACGTGCCAAATAACTCTAGAAAATTCTTGAATTTTCAGTTTTTTCAATATGTCTCGTAAAATATACAAGATAGGAACAACTTTTAAAGGAAGGGTTAGTTTGTTTTTGAGTGCCCTATCAAAAGCTCTTATTAGTTTATCCATATTTTCACAAATACTTCACCCATCCTCTTGATCGTTGTATTTCAGAAAAAATTGTTTTTTTTTTTCCCTAACATACCGTAACGTGGATAGTATTACTCATGCACGGAATATTCTGAAAATGTTGAACTGTCAACATGTTCGTACATCTCGAAATTGGATATTGTAACGTATTTTCTTAACTCGACACTGATAGCGAAAAATCCGATAACCAACCTACCTTATCGTCGGCCGTCCACCCTTCGCTTATACATCCACAAGCCAGACGGGCACCAGCCAATTCTTTTGTCACCGGGAAGTGACAAGCCGGTACTTACGAGATGGGGTGGAACAGGCCCAACTGCGTCAAAACGAAAGCTCGGACGGAACCTATCAGAAGATACGATAACTTAATGGACCGTATCGATTTTTGGAGACGCGTGAAATCGAGAAACGCAGTCGTAGGTACTGATCTTTGGGGTCGCTTAAAATCAGCAAACAAAACTGGATGCACAAACAGGAGCGGACGGTTACGAAAATGTACGGCCGCTGAGCCTGCTAGGTTGAGGAAGAGGGGGTCGGAGTAAAGCATGAGGCAAATACTGCAAGATACAGAGAGCAACGAATTGAGAACGTAATAGAACGTATCGGAAGTATCAAATCGAAATCCTTTCACCAATTAATAAATTGGGAGTTCTGACCGGAGCTGATGCAGTTAATCCGTGAAGGTCAAGAACTGTATCTAGAGGACACTCAGGCGGTCACTGCACTAGGGCACAGGACTACATCTCGGAAACACATACGGAAATTCCATAGAATTTCCTGGATATCACGGGAGCAACGAGATAACTACACAGGCGAGAACCTTCTATACCGTATCGAAACACAGCTAGAAAAACTATCAACAGATAGCATGGGAGCGCAAACGAATTCGTGACACCTCGGTCGGTGTCCCAAGACAGACTGTTTTGACAATAGCCAAATTCGAGAGCTAAACACTCTGAATGGTCGAGATTCTTATTCTTCCCTCGAATCGTCGCTTTAAACCAAATTGAGAGCGTTCCTTAGCGAATCGGTACGTAATTATTTGAAGATCCTCCACGAACGCTTCCCCAGGGAATCGGGCGACAGATGAGCACTACATCCTCAACTCGGTACGTCGAGACTATCTCCCCACGGCAGATTCAAGCACCTCGACCTCAATTAAACCATATCAAATCTTCCGAGAGCATTGGCATAACTATACGAATCAACCCCGGAAACATAGCTTCTAAGTGGGGTGCCGACTTGAAGGAAACCAGAAAGCGAGAACATTATTTGAATCAGTAGCCGGAGTCGCCTTGTGACCATGAATCGAAAAAGCACGTCGCAATATACAGTAACGTCCAATTGAAGTGGAACATTTGAATTTTCGTGTATTTTTGTGAAACTATGACCGATTTCGAAAACCCAAAGACATATTTTTAGAAAATTTCCTTTCCGTTGGAATGGTAAAGGTTTTATCTCGATCGAATACAAAATGGCCGAATGGTAAGGGTTGGAGTGAAACAGGGCATTTTGGGCCTTTGTGAAAATTTCGAGAATTAGTAGTTCCGGAAGGAAGTTCATATTTCTAATCATTCTAGGAGGAACTACACCCCCTTGAAATGGAAACACTTAATTGACCATAACTTCCGAACGCACCGATCAATCTGGTCTAGTTGTGCGGGCTATCATGTTTAACGATACTGCAGATTCTCGCAAAATTATTGTTTTCGGAGACGATCCCATGACAGAGATCTTGAGACATCCCAAACGCACCCGAAGCTTCCTCACCATTTTTCATCAGGAATACGATGGAATAGAACTTTCATATTTGCCCCTATATATGATTCAGAATTTCAAAGATTAAAACGCGCTTTTAAACATCCAGAAATGAGTTTGTTAAAGGATTAAATTTTTTATTTGGCAAAACGCCTAAATTTTGGGAGTTTCGCTCGAGGTGTGGAGAGAGACATGTATAGCGGAGCAACCGCTTAGGACGTACGATCCGCCGCGCTGACAATGGAACACACTAGAAATTCTTATTATGTTTCATAGATAGACAACGACTTGGACCGTTTACCGGATAAAACTAAGCTACAGAGACTATTTAATTCCATCATCAAGTATCACGTATGCTTTCTTCTTAGACCACTTTCTGTTTCATAAATTAATTTTCGCCTTAACCTCAAAACACAGTCAAGTTTTGTAATTTACCATAAACCTTGCTTACATCGGGCGTAATAAGGTCTCACACTGTCCTAAATAGAATGGTCTTTACTACGCGTAGTGTAAAATAGACTATACACTTTTTCCTTTAGCATTTCTCAATTGCTAAAAGAGCAAATATTCATAAAACAACTTTTATCTATGTATTTAATAATGATGACAAATTTTGCTAAAGAAGAATTATTGGGTTGTCTAGCGCGTTTTATTAAGACTGGACAATTTGTTAAGGGGATGTCAAACAAGTCAAACAATCTCTTATTAACGCGAGTTATGATGACTACAGGAGCCTTACCGATAAGATACAGAGACACCGGACACCGGAAATCGAGGTGTCTTTATACGGAACGATCGAGAGGAAGTAAGTAAGAATTACCAGCTGAATCGAGCAGGATCACTCTTATTAAATATTTATTTAGAGTTAAGTTTATTTTTGTAATCTTTTTAAAAAGTATAAATTCACATCGAACAACTTAGTTCGCGTTTTGCGCGTTTTTCCTTTCACCTCTTTGCCGATCGGAGTCGTGGAGGGTGAGACACGGCGGACTCAGGAGTGTTGAGATCGGGTAGCGCTGAGCGACAGGTTTTCCGTATTGCCAAAAGGGTATGGCAGTAGGTGTTTCACAGATGGAGGGCATAGGTTGTGGTGGTAGGACTGGCAGGAGTCGGATTGGGTCGTTGCGTCCGCTAAATAGACCAGCTCGGTGTTAGATCAAGGATAGGGGGCACGAAGGTAGTTGGAATATCTTGGCGCAGCGTGGTGCGCAGCCATTGCCTCTATTTACAGGGGTACGCTACAGGGGTAACAGCCACAAGTCCTTACCAGTGTCCCTTGCAGTAGAACGTTAGAGTTACTGCCAGAAGGCTAGGAGGCTAAAACGAGATACTAGGACCACTTCAGCAACTCACCAGTTCATTTTCGATCGGTCGAGGAACACTGATTGATTTTACCCTGAACCATCAGATTTTCATACCTCCGATTTGAAGTTGGCTGGCGATCATCCCCTTGGTAATAATACCGCAACAATTAAAATTTAAAAACAACTTTGGCCAATGTGCCGTGGAACTATGGGGCTATGCGTATGCGCGAGCTATTACGCAGGCAAGGTTCTTCAAATTATAATTTAGAGCGGGTAACAAAACCATATTGAAACCTATAGCACAATAAATTTACTGTAACTTCTATTCATTGAATAATATACAATAAATCTATATTTTCACCCGTGTTCAATTTTTAGCAGACATGCACAAATATTTCAGACAATATTGCTCCTGATTGGAATAGCGATGCGTGTTTCAATACCTTGAACTAGTAGCGAATCTACCGCTAATTCTGAGTACATTCTTACTCCTCAGAATTCATTCCTTTCTTTTTAAGTAACCCCTGTCCCTTTGTTTTTTAGTTATTTATAAATTTTCTATTATAAATTTTAAAGATCTCGCTAACCACTATAGCTTTAATAACATTGTTTAAAAATTAGAAAGTCGTGGATTCATTTGACGCGTTCTATAATATAATGAATTTAACAGGATTAATATGAATGATTAAGGCATATTATATATAATATAACTTTTATAAATAACGACGTCATTTAACCAAGTTTGACAAAATAGTAGCTATCAAATATTTATATATCTTATATTATAAGCGAAACCGACGTGAATTGCGGGTACAGAGAGAAGAAATAAGAAGAGTCAGAGACGATGAAAATAAATGCCGACAGAGTGGATAACTCACGTACCCGCTACATTACTAGGAGCCACATAATTATTACAGGGGGCACTATGATTAGAGGCAAACTCCACGCAACACACATTGTGATACGAGGAGCCTTACAAACAGCAGAGGGCTAAAGCTATAATCGCTTTCTTAATAACCTTGGTAATCCATCTACAACTAGTCACAGTATCAAGTATTTCGCTAGCTGTAACCACTTGTAACTGGCATGCTTGGTATTCAAAAACTGAATTATTGTTTTTATTTCATTAAACATACCTTAAAGCAGATGGAATCTTCATTACGATATAAATTAGGGCAGATTTCGCGGAGACGAAAGCTCACTGCATCGACAGAGGCATTATCTCCCAAGTAACTAAAAATATAATATAATTAACAAAATTCTGTCAATAATTCTACGTTTCCATAAATAAAATTAATATTACCTGTCAATTAAATGTACGATAAGCAAAGAAGATATTTCGTGACCAATTAATATTAAATCTCTGAACGTTGCCGTTGAAAATTGATTGATTTGATCCTAAAACAAAAAAATATGCGCAATAGTTATCACACAATGCAAATAAACATTTTTCGAAACAATTTGAAAAACTTTACTTATTCTATCACTTATTCTATTTCTATATATTCTTAGTAATGTGGTTGACCGAATATATGTTACATTATCATAGCAATTTAAAATTTTTTGGTTGAATGCAGACCATAGTAGCAATCAATTTCGGTAAACAATAAGCCGAGCGGCAGGAATGAACAATGTCAAGAGATTTTTTAAACTTTTATCAGCCTAAAAAAAGGTCATATAGGCGAGTTTTTCTGAAATAACATTAAAAAAAGCTTAAAAATATATGGTGCTACTTTCAGGTACACAGAACACAGTTTTTTTGTTTGTTTCCAATGCTCTAGCATAAATGTTTGGATATGAAGTTGTTAACGTAACCTAATTTAACTTCAACTGACATTTTGGAAGGTAGAATAAGTCGCCTCGGTGCGCACTTAGTGAGAGGCTAGTTCAATTGTATCTGAGACTACATCCCTAATCCTGATTTTTCTAAAAAAAAATCCTATCGACCTCTCACAACAATACCGATAAAAAAGCAGGAAACAGAATAAATAAATCCGTAATATTATATAAATTCCCTTCAGATTATGATACTGTTCTCGGCCCGAGAGTGACACAGTAAAGATGAGCAGCAGAGAGTGTGACAAACACAAGTGAAGTGATGATTTCAATGGGAGAATAGAAAGAAGAGGAGAGAGAGAGAGAAGAGAGAGAATTCAATTTATTTGATCAGGGCTTAAATCCCGTAGACCATAACATCATATAGTAACAATATAAAGAATGTAATAGGTATAATATAAGTCAAACTCAATTATAGTAATAGACTAGACTAGACTAGAATAGTAATAGATATTATAAAAATATGTAATTAGTAAATAGCACTCGTAGACAAAAGAAAGAGCTATAATTATAACATTTACCCTAATTTCGGTAAATGTATGCACATATACTATATACATATATACACCCTACTAAGTAGGTGACACTAATGAACACAACGATAAGACTAAGGTAAACAAATAATACTATAAACTTATTACTTAGGAGAGAGGAATTGGGAGGGAAAAAGGGAAAAAGAGCCAAGGAATTCACAAGGCAATAAAATGTGTGTGCGAGTGGGAAATACAAGAAGGCTTTAGAAAAGGGAGGGGATGCATAGGCCATATAATAACACTAAAGTGGATGGCAAAGAAAAGGTTGAAAAAGAAAAAAGGGAAGCTGTATGTACACCTTCTTTTCAGATTTAAAGGCAGCATTAGACAGGGTAAACAAGGAAGAAATGTTCAGATGTATGAAAGAGATGGGAATAAGAAAGACGCTAATTAAGAGGGCAAAGGAGATATGTAAGGGAATAAGGAGCAGAGTAAGAGTGGGTATAAAAGAATCAGATAACTTCAAAAGGGAGAGAGGGTTAAGATAAAAATGCCGACTGACAATGAGCCCAAGGCCATTCATAGTGTTCATAGCAGGAATAGCGGAATATATGAGAAGGAAGAGTGACGATAGGAAAGGAAAGAATATACAATATAACTTAGCATTTGCCAATAATGTGGCAATGGTGGCGGAGAGCAGGGAAGAAATAGAGCAAATGATGAAGAGGCTGAAAAGATTTATAGAAGGAAGAATGTCGGAGCTAAATGTGAATAAGTCCAAGATACTAGTATTCAGAAGAGTGGGGAGGAAAGGAAGAAAAAATGAGAGCGAGGAATTTAAGTAAAAATAGCGGTAGAAGGAAATAGAGAAGCTGAATAATTACAAATATCTAGGATATGTTGTGTGTTTGAATTAAAATCACGGATTGACTACCGAAATGGATATTATGGGAGTCGGGTATGTAGGAGGGATTCATTGCTGAGGTAAAAGTTATAACTTGAACTCTTGAAACAAGTGAAAACGGTTTTTTAAAAAAGACTATTAACGTAGATCACACTAGTTTCTTTGCAACATCAAAGGGCACGAGAACGAAGGTAGTACTTCGAATAAATCACCGTAGTGATGCTTCACTCGTTTCTCTATAACTCCGTCTGCCTTTTGATACTTTACAAATGGAATTTGGAGAGACACGTCAACCAGAGGATTTGTTTGTATATTTCATAAGAGTTTTGTACTCTGCTGAGAGGCCTATGGTCCTTTTCTGTTTGTTTTCTGTCTGGCTCGTAACCAGTTTTTTAAACTTTTTTAAACTAGCCAGCTAGCTTCGTAGCCAGTTTTTCCGCTGCATCTTCGTCAGGATTTCATCTGGTTGTTTATCCCTGGTGTTTATTTCCCGCTTCGTCGCCAGTTCATCAAGTGCGGCCGTGAACGTGGTGTGCACTCTCGTAATCATGGCCTCGCAGTGCTCCTTATTGGCTATTACTTCCAGGTCGGGCATCAAGCGCCGTGTCATAATCTTGTATGCTTTTCTGCCCCTTGCTCTATTGTTGTGTGCGAGAATCCTCATTCTGTGTGGTGTCAGCTCCAGTGTTAGTTTCCATGGTAGATGGGACCTGTGATCATATTTCTTTGCAGATAGTGGGAGTATAGCTTTTGATGTGGCAAGCACCTCCTGTCTCGTATACGTCTCGTCGAAGGCGATGCGCTGTATACATGTTACTGCGGCCATTTGAGCATCATTGTTGAAATCAATCATTTCCTCATGTCGATCCAGTAGAGACAACGTGATCTCGTAATCAAAGCTGTAAACCGCCACACTGCGTGTATTCGGTCATGCTGTTGTAGACCTTCTGGATGGCTCGACTCTCATTGTTGCCTGTTCGCACTCTTCGATTAAGATGTGAGTATTGGCTATTGCTGCTCTTGCGACTGCAGCTGCTTTGACGTAAGTTTCGCGGGCCTTGCTATTTCAGCACATGACTTCCTCGTCTCCTGTTGTTGCTACGACTGTCTCGATGACGCCGGGCTTTCAACTTCGGTGTCTCTTTCTTCAGTGGTGACGGTATTAGTTTCTCCGCCTCTGATGCTGCCTGCTGTGTCTTCAGTGACGGTTTTGAATACGGATGAACCTTGAGGTTTTCCGTGGTTCGCTGAGGGTTCTTGTGTTTGAAGTCTATTCGTTGTTTCTTGTTTGTTTCAGTCTCCTTTGGGAAAAGTCAACACTTTTTCTCCATTGCGGTGTGTTCCTCTTGGTACAAGCCGTGCAACTAGTTTTCGTGCTGCCGTCCTCTTTGGTGTTAGAGAAAAATGCTTGGACTTTGGGCTGCCGTAGTACGTTTGCATGTGCCTGAATTGTATGCAGTTTTTGCGCTGGATTGCGGCATATCCACGAATTTTGCACTCTGGCAGAGTACGTGGGTTATTTTCATCACCTTGTTGTGTAGCGTCTCGCCATTAACAACAAAAAACACAGACGTCTTGCTGTGAAAGATCGAGACGTAAACAATTTTGAATTCATACAGCCTTTCGATGTTGCTACAGTCATACTCCTTGGTCCACCCTAGTGCGTATACACCTTTAATCGTGTACACTGAGCTGTATTAATAGTGTCCCAGAGGAAGTTAGGGGACCAGTGGCGAAGCGAGAGTGGGGGCGGCCAGCAGCCTAGAAAGAAGCCAGGCCGGAGCATAGTGGGGGCAGCCTTTTCCCCTCGCTCGGGACGCTATTTATGTCACAAATCGGAGCAGTCCCGTATAAGAGCGTCTTCCTCGCTCCTAGCGTCAGTTCCCTATAAGATCGTCTCACTCGTTGTTAGTGGTGACTCTCCGAATTTCTCTAGCGCGTATAGGAGCGTCTCGCTCACGTGCTCGCTCCCTGCCTATAAGATCGTATTAAGAACGTTGCATATATGACCTTCAAGTTTTCCTATGAGTTGATCTATTGTATGTAAATTATGAAGCAATGCTACTGTTATATGGGAAACCGGCTCATTCTTAATAGAGCTAGTGGCGAGTGTAGATCGAAATGGCACAGAATCTTTGCGTTGAGCAACGCGGACGAATCGTGGGTTTGTGGCAGGGCAGAAAATTCTTTAACGAGATTGCAAAGGTCATCGGATGCAGTTCAAAAACTGTATCGAGTTGGGGGGGGGGGCATCATGCCATCCACGACCACTGTACGCAGAATCGGCGGCCGCGGATTACAAACAGATAACAGGACCGTCTCGTGATCAATGCAATTGATCGCGATCCGATAAATGAAGCAAACCTAATTAGCACTAGTATTAATTACTATACCTGCGACTTGTATTTTTATATATATCAATCAAGTGTTGAGATCCGGCATAGTGTTCTGCTAGAATCGATACAGGATGTGACTGGAAGCAAGAAGCTATTATATGCAGGGAACAAGCGCGTGAGTGAGACACTCCTAAACACGCTAGAGAAACTCGGAGACCCACCACTAACAACGAGTGAGAGGGTCGTATAGAAAACCGTCGCTAGGAGCGAGGAAGACGCTCTTATACGGGACTGTTCCGACTTGTGACATAAATGGCGTTCCGAGCGAGGGGAAAAGGCTACCCCGACTATGCTCCGGCCTGGCTTCCTTCTAGGCTGCTGGCCGCCCCAACTCTCGCTTCGCCCCAACTTCGTCTGGGACACCATTAATGCCGCTCAGTGTATTTACGCGCCTTGGATCTGACGTCCCGATCCGCGTGTATGGAGTATTGCACATTCTGTGACTTAAGGTACTGCAGTATTTTCCTATGTCCCACGGTGCAGTACGCGCGTACATACGCTCAGCCAGCTCTGGGATTCAGTTTCATGTTGGCCTTGCACCTTCTCGCCAGTTTTGTTAGGGTGGTTATTCCTTCTGCAGTTGCTAAGAGGTCGGCCTGGGTGATCGTTATAGGAGGTGGTCTACGGCTTTTTCGTTCGGGATCCTGTGAGGCCGCGTCCATTGCGTTATGTGCATCCACTTACACAGGGGAAATTTCCGTAGTACCACTGGTCTCAATGTTCATTAGAGTTTGCCCAATACTTTGTTGTTCGGTGTTATTATGGACACTGACCTTGTCTCTTGATTTG